TGAATAGAAACTTCAGAGCCATGGGCAGCCCTGCTGCTTAGTGGTGGCAGGAGAGTTTTGTTGGGGTGCCTGTTGTTGTTCACTACTTTTGAGCAAAGAGCACTCCAGGAAGAAAATCTGCGTTTCTTTTAGAATGTTAGTAAAGAAATGTAAATATTCAGGTGGCTGCAGTGACAGCAATGTCCCCAGTTCACTGAGAGGGGAAGGATAGAATGGTGCCAGTGCCCTGGTCTCATTCCTGCTGTAGCTGTGGATTTGTGGTTCCTCAGAACCTTTATTCCTGCCTGCAGCTGCACTGGGGCTGTCATTGTGATTGGGTTTGGCTTTCCTATTTTGGTTGCTCCTTCCACTGCTTCCACATCTACAACATCTTTGGGTGGACAAGAGGTCCATTGGTGCTATGCAGCACTCCTGGGGTGCAGAGATAAAGGGAATTATTCCAGGGATTGAATTCTCCACCTTCCTGTGCCACAGTGGTGCTGTTCCACCATGGCAGTGCCAGCCCACTGCTGAGGCTGCTCAGTGTGGCTGCAGCCCCTGGGCAAACTGAGGGATTCATTCTTGGGAGGAGCCCATCCACACCCTGGAGCTGCTGCTGGAGGGCAGGGGACGGTGTGTTCTCCTCTCCCAGGCACTTTACTGAAATAAATGAATTCTCTTCAGAAATGTAATCACTACATATTCTTTCTTGCTGTCCCCAAGACTTGCAGAGCTTTGTTGCAGCATTTGTCATGTTTGATAGTTGATCTTTTTCAGTTTTAAGCTTGAAGAAATCAAAATTAAAGCAGGTTAGCAGGTGGCCACATCACAGAAAATCTCACCACTCCTCTTTCTCCCTGCACCATTTCTTGCTTATTTATTATGTTTTCCAGTTTAAATGTCTTTACACTTGCAGGAGTTGATCTGTGGATGAACAATAGCTTTCTGGATTAGTCTGCATTCCTATGTGTTTTGGTTTTTCTCCTGAGAGCAGCAGCTGTCCAACTCAAAGATGGGTATTTGGGCAGTTCCTGAATGGGGATGGAAGATGGTGTTCCAGGCTCCTATGTAGGACTGGGATTGGGTCTGTGCACTGGTGTTCCCCCAGCTGTTTGCTGGATATATATTTGCACCTTGCAAGCAAAACTCTCCTTATCGATTAATTGAACTGGCAGAGTGACTTATTGCCATAGAGGCACTAAAGACAGGAGGGGCACAACACAAGTTTTAGATTGGCTATAATTCAGAGATAATGCTTATGTTACTGTGTCTTGACAAGACATTTTAAAAAAGATTGCTCTAAGCTGAGGTGCCAGCTATGGAGATAAATGTTTGATCACATCATTGCTGTTAGAAATATTGAGAAAAATATTCTGGAATGCTCAAGGCTGGACTGAGTGTGTGTGCTTTGGCTCCAGGAGGGTGGTGGCTATGCAGAGCCTACAGTGCTTATTTGGGTGGTGGGCAGGGGCTGCTCTAGGTGTCCCTCTCCAAGGGAGAGGACAATTCTGGGTGCTGTGGGACCTGTGGGAAGCTGGGGTACTGCTGATCGGGGAAACCCAGGGCACTGGGAATATTTCTGTGTCTGCTCTGGGTGCCCTGACCCCCAGGGGAGCACTGACTTTGACCCTCATCCATGGAGAAAGTTTCCTAGACCTCAAGACAGACTAGAATCCACAAAAGTGTGAAATAGATTATAGAGAGTAGTGCAGGTGTATCACTTGGTGGGAAATGTAGGTTTTTGGGGTTTTTAGTATGTTGTGGAAGGAAACAAGATGGAGGGCACAGGGTGTCATTCTGTGTTTCTTCTTCATGCTGCTTCTTCCTCCTTCTTCTTGGATTTGGGTGGCACTCTGTAGTTGGGCAGAAAAGTCCCCATTGCAGCTCTTCGGGATCAGTTATTGGGTTAAAAAGCAAAATAATCTAGGTGTCCTTTCTTAATTGGACAGTTTAGTCTTAAAAGACCTTGTAACAAGAGATTGTTGGCCATTTTGTGCCTTCTAATGAAAAGCTGCTGAACTCACAGCAGTGGGACTGTTTTACTGATAAGAAATAATAAACACCTGAGTCTGAACATGAATTACTGTCTCAGGTGCCTTCAATGCAGACCCAGAGAAACCCACAACTGGTACTGCCACAGTGATGTGTGAATCCTGGCCCAAACACAGCTATTTCTGTCCAGATAATGCACTGGATTTCCCTTTGGCAGTGATGGCCAAAGTCACTGACTCTTTGGATGACAGCTGTGAAGGTGAAAGTGTTTGGTTCTGAGTGTCCCCTTCTCTGGGCCCTCCACTGACACTTGGTGACAGAGCCCTGGGGGTCCTGGAGTCTGTGGCGAGTGGGAGTCCTGCAGGACACAGCCATGGCAGTTCTCTCCCAGCCCTCAGCAGTCAGGAGGGTGGGCCATGCTTTGTGGCCTTTTTAGCAGCAATTAGAGAAAATATCCCAGCTTCTAGGGGACAGAAGAGGGAAAGGCTCTTTTGGAGGCTTATGTGAAATCAGCCCCTAATGGGATCAGACATCCCTGGGCAAGTCCAAAGCCTTCTCCAGCTTTGAGCTCCATGGCAGTGTATTGAGAAACCTTTCCACTTCACAGCAAGGCTTCCTTCCAAGCAAGGAGAAACCTGGAGGGTGACATCCTCATTTGCTGAGGTGTGCTCTTCCACTTTTGCCTCTGCAGTTCTGGCCCCAGGTTTCCATGGCAGCAGCGATGTACGGAAAGAGCACAGAGAGTAAGGCAGAAATGTGCCTGCAGCTTTGCCTGTCCCTGACTTTGTAAAATGAATCTGGAGGCTTCCAGTAGAGATCATGGTGTGTTGCATCCACAAACTCTGGCCTGAATGCTTGAATCATTATCAGTACAGACATTCAATAGAGAAGATAAAGCATTATTTGTACTTCCAAAAGTGGTTACTGGCTGCATGTAGACTTAGTATGTCTAATAAGTAACCACTGGTGGTTTCTGGAGGTCAAGGGAGGTGATTTGGGCTTCAGTGCAAGGTGCTGGGTGTGTCTTTACACTTGTATGACAGCCAGGAGTGGGTTAATGACTTGGTGTCTAATTGGTCATGACATCTCTTAGAAGGGGTATCTCATGTTGAGCTGCTGATGCACATCAGGTGGACCTTGAGAGATGCCAGATGGGGACAGAGAGCCAAAAGAACAAGGGAAAAAAGGAAGACATGTTCTGAGGGATAGAAGAAAATGGAGAGTGGACAATTTGATTTATTGAATGGCAGCAGCACTTATCTCAGAGGTAGGATTAAGAACCACTGGAGAACTGAGGAGGAAGAGAAGAGATTCAGAATGAATCTGGTGGTGATGAGAGCACATGGGATGTAGAGAGGGCTAAGCATGAGATGTTTGTGTTCAGCAGAGATGGCACAAATCAGATGGAATCTCCCCATTGATGGGGATGAGAAGGTTTTGGCAATGGTGGCTGGCTGCATGTTTGGATGAAAAGCATCAGGGAAGAACTGGGTCCATGTTTGAACTTCTGCATCAATTCCTAGCAGCTATCCACCCTGGGGATAAATTGTTGGCAGATCACTGAGGCCATGCAATAAGTGGATATATATATATGGGCTACATATTGGATATTTGGGCTGCAAATGCCCCTCCTGTTTAGGGGAGCACAGTGGAGTGAAACCAGTGCAACCTATGCTCTGTTGTAACCACACAAAGAGTGCTGTCTGTCCAGCAGCTTTCTGGAAGAAAAGATGACCTCTTTGGTGAGATCTTGTGGGAATTATTGAATTTGCCATTGATTAAGCAAAGGGCTGCACTGACATTTGTCTGTGGTGTTTTTCTGGTCAAAACTCCTGCCCAAACGTGCATTGGTGATCACAGGCTGGCAGGCTTACTTACACTCAGCCCGCAGTTGGAGCAGACAATCTGCATCAAAGGCATCTATTTCCTTGTCTTGTTGCATAGATATGAAAAAGAGATATTAAAAGGTGTCATAATAGCAGGAGAGCAATGCAAATGCTGTACTACTGTGTTTAAAAGACCATTAACAGTTATTAACAGAGGAAGTTAGACTGGATGAAACCATTTGTCTTCAGCACACTTCCCTGTGATACCTCTGGGTCTGAACCAGGCACACACCCAGATTTCCAACCATGAAAATAGTGGCTATTTAAACAGCAGCAAATTATTTTTGAGTGTTAAATATGCTTCATATTTTCTATGTGTTTATTTTAATGCAAAATTATGTTATTGGTTCAGCTGGTTGAAATTTTCTATGGGGAATATTAATCTGAAAAAACAAAGTTCTGCAGAAGTTGACTCAGGCTGTATCAAGACATCATTATATCTTGAAAAAATTATATTCTAAGGAAACAGGAAATACTTTAAAAAAATAAGTGTTGTATTTGTGTGAAAAAACCTGCTTGTTTTCCAGCTAGACATCTTAGTGTGTCTAGAATCTATAAACTAATGATTTATTTTGCCTAACTGGAGGTAAGGAGTATTTAATGAGAGGTAGATTTGGTCCCAAAAGAAGCTGGCTGGTTACCAATATTTTTACACCATTATGATGTTTTTTGAGACTTTTTTTCTGTAAAATGGAAAATGTAATTGTGACCCCTTCACACAGCTTGTCAACAAAACCTTTCTAGGGCTAGTTAGAACTGCCTGATTTCTGAGGTAAATATGGTTTGTACTCAGGTTAATTCTGTGTATGTGATATATTCTTAGAAGTTCTCTCTCACTGCTGGAGTCTGGTCACTCTGGTCCTTTGTCTCTTGGATGGGAAGCAGAATAAGGGTTTAGGCTTCCCCATAAAGAGATTTTTCTGTGCCTGTGTTGCCTCATAAGCCTTGATTGCCATTATAAAATTTGTTTGGTCACTGACATGTTTATTCATATATTGCAGTAAGAAATTAAAATGGTCTTTTCCCGTTTTCATAAGGCAGTAGCTAATTACCTGTACCCATATGCAAGAAAATGGTTGTTTGTCAGGGTAACACTGAGGCATGTTACTCAAAATTAACACAAACTATATGCACTTGAAAAAATGAAAGATTTTTGGATATATATTTTATTTGACAGTGGTTTAGAATATCATACAGTAAACAAGATTTCTGTAAAAGTTAATTTATCCATAGTGGTGCGTTTCATAAAAATAGTTGCTCACTTACAGCCTTTCTGTGACTATTAATACATGGAATTATATTTATAGAGATAGAGCTGTACAAGGTAAATTCACAGCTAACACTACACAGAAATATTATTTGGAATGGGGTTTAGATGATGTGCTGTCTTCACAGGTTATCGATTACAGCCGCATAAAGCAATTACTGCACAAGGAGTAGCTGTGAACTGTGCAAATTAGAGTTTATGCAAGCATAATCTCAACTGGTTTTCAGATTTCATTGTTTGCTTTCTTTATACATAAAAATAAGATACCGGGACATGCATCTACACTACAGAAGCATTGTCCAAAATCAGATTCAATAAATTAATGGCAAATTATATTGTATTCTAGTTCAGGGGATAAAGATCTTTTTTTTTTTTTTTTCCCATTAAATAAGAGTTTTATAAACAGCTACATGGATTTGTGCTTTTTTAAAAATTATAAATGGATTTTTCTTTCTTAAAAAAAAAAAATTGAAAGCTGCAAAATCCTTGACTTGAGGCTTTTCAAATAATTGGACAGGAAGAAACATGTCTATAAATTTCGCAGTCCAGTGCAATGTTTGAGACATACAATAATGTGCTAATTTCTTGGAACAAAGCCAATCTCAATCTAGTTTTTCAGCAGAGCGTGTGAGGAACTAAGATTGCTAGTGAACAATAATTTTTAAATATGAATTTTTGACAGTACTTAGCTTTACAATTTTTTTTTAATTACCAATGTATTATTGCCCAGGATTTTGTTTTAATTTTGACAGACGAATAAGCACACGCACACTTACACAGACACACACACATCTGTTTGAAACAAGATAATGACTGATTGACTGAACTTGGAGTTATTTCCTGTGAAGGCAGACTGGAATGTTTACCTGGCACTTAAGGCTTAAAATTCAAAACAGACAAGCAAGAAAGATAAAAACAAAAAGAAGAAAAAAAATGGAGATAGGGAAAAAATGGTGAAATGGAAACCATTTTAAAAATGGAAAAATACTGAATTTACTGAATGAGGACACCGACAACTGTATTTCAGAAACCAGTCTAATTATTGTTGACATGTGCCTGAAAGGCACCTGCTCTGCCAAACTGAGGGGATGAGAGGTGAGAGTGTCCTAAGTAAATGTGGATGGGTATGAAACATAGCACTGTTGATAAGTGATGCTATCATCTTCTGCAGGAAGGAAAGGCCTTTCCTTAAGGAAACTGCAGCTTTTTCTCTGTAGCACTCTTCCTTTCATTGCAAGGGCCTTGCAGATGCCTGGGATTTGAGCCTGACCAATTGGTTTGTGGACTTGGGGAACCTGTAATAAATCACTTTTGAGAATAATTTGCAAATACAACTCCACCTTAACTCCTTTCCAATGTACAGAAACATGGTTTGTTCACAAAAATGGCAGTAGAAATGGTATCACAGAAACTAATCCACTGGATTCCCCATTCCTCCCGCAGCACCCGGTGAACTATTCTACAGGGTGCCACGTGGACTATCCCAAAGCGTTAACAGTGGAGACGTGTCATGGGTGTACAGTTCCGAACGATGCTTTAAAGAAACCCTTTAACCCCTGTCTAGATATGTCGAGAACAATTTATTTACAACATTTTAGCTCCATGAAAAGATCCTCTCTCGGTTTCAGCTTGCTCCGTGCAGTTTTATTTAAGGCGATGTTCCAGTTTGTGATTGCTCTAACTTGTTCCAGTTTCTTGATATAAAGTTTGAATGAAATCCAAGTCCTTCATGCAGTGGGAAAAAAATGCTAAAGCTACACTGCACTATCCTTCTCTGATGTACTGTCCTTCATATTGTTTTGGTTTCTTCCATAGCTGCCAAAGTCCCTAAAATGGAACTGGGACTTTAGGGTCGATTTTAAATCTCTGTGTTGACTATATGCTTTTGAACTTATTAGATACTGTGCACATTGTCATGGAATTACACACTAATGTTTTCATTCCTCAATGCTTTGTGTATATGTGTGATAGTTAAAATAAATTAAAACAAACCAATGTGAGACAAAAACTAAGAAGAATGTTCTGCGTCAGTTTGAGACAGTTAGAGGGCAACAGTCCCTTGCTTATCTGCTCATGGCAGAAGTACCAGACTTCAGGACGCTTGGTAGCTTATCCGAGCCAGGGATTTTCCACGGCCCTGGAGAGACCGTTGCCTTTCGAACTGTGGTGTTGGTGCTGCGAGTGCTGATGGAGTGGAGATGTCCCTTCCTGGGGAACTCGCTGGGTTTCCCATCAGGGTCCCTCTGGCTGTGGTCCATATCGCTTCCAGGCGAGCTGCAGCGGTTGCTACCATAGGTCTTGGCAGCTCCCGTATCGGTCTTGACGTGGTCGGGTGCTGCAGCTGACTTCTCACTGGTGTTTGTGGATCTGTGGTCTCTTTTGCTAAGAGATCCTCCTCTCTTGCTTTCTGGCTTCCTCAGCCTCCCTAACTGTTCATCACTGCTTCCAGCACACATGTGCTCTCTTGCGCCAGCCTCGATCATAACGCCGTGTCCCACCGCTTTGCTTTCTGAGGTGGGCCTGCCACCATCAGTGGTCTTATTTTTGCCTCCTGAATATCCTTTCCAAGAAGCCTCTTCGTGCTTTGACCTGTCTACCTTTTTAGGACTTGCTGACCTTTCTCTTTGTTCTCCTAACCTTTTCTTTTTGTGACCGTTCACCGAAAGCTCCTTTGGTTTCCTTACATCGTGTTCCCTCTTGATATCCCATGTTGGCTCTGGGCTTATCTGGTGAGAAGGGTCAGAGGGTGGGGCTATGTGTGATGAAGATAATGGTGAGATTATGTCGTCGAGGGAAAGAGCTACTTCCGGCAGACCTGGGGAGGTGGCAGAGGGAGCACTCCAGGAGTTTGGTTCGTCTGTTGTAACAACAAAGAGAAGAGAGTTAAGGGCGCATCCAGCAGCATAGAGTGTATTTATTGCGTGTATTCTGAGCAACACTGACTCCCAAACTGCGTACCAGCCTTAAACCCCTCTGCTTCAGCTGAGGTGAAACTCCCTCAATTGTGGAACCAACAGGGAGAAAACCAAAAATAATCTCTCCACAAAAAGAAAAAAAAAAGAAAATAAAAAAAGTACAGGCGACACAAGAACCCCAAAGCTGGTGGTAACTGCAAATGCTGGAAACCCTGGTCTTTTTTTCATACAGATTCCGCTTTCCTCTGCCTATGTTAAATTATTCTTAAAATAATAAAGGCACGTGCTCATGAAATCAAATAGCCTCTTTTGTAGCTGTATAATGGATTTCTTAGCTGGGCAATATCAGTGCTGTCTCTGAGGACAAATGAGAAGGACTTTCTGCCATCTATTAAACATGCCCCTACAAGCATATAATAATTGACAAGAATTTGTAGCTCAGATAAGGTCATCATTGAATTCTGTCTCATATTTTTTCTAAACAGATATAGTATTGCGGTGTTTATGGCCCCACAATTCTTGCAGGGTACATTTACAGCTCTGCCTTTATATCACAGTGTCAGCTGCTGAGTCTCCTGGTTGTGCATTTTGAATTTCTCTTGGTTACTTAGCCTCAACACAATATGGTTGGTTTGTGCAGATCCTGTTTGATTTAGCCAAATGAATGTCTCCTTTGCTGAGTCACGATGATTTTCCTAATCCAAACCAGAATATTCTGGGATGCATTTCTCTTGTGTATACATCCTCATTTCTTTTGATTAACTTTCTGGCAGAAAACAAATCTACCATGATTAATGACAGCATGGCTCCCACTCTTATCCATCTACTTAGAGGTTAGAGAAATCACTGAACTTGGCTAATGTCATTCCCTATTTAGCACCATTTTAGTTAGGCTTTGAACAGTATGAGGAGTAATCTGTCAGAGATGAAGGACTGTCTCAGGAATCCATGGAAACGAGGTAGAATTGTGGCAAGAGCTGCATATTTTATGGGGGAGAAAATGTAACCTTCTAGCTAAAAAACAAGCGTGGACTTCTTAAGGTCAGGACTAGTATCTGTCAGTGGTATCAACTGCCCTTTAAAAAAGTAACATGCTTTTTTCTCAGTGCTATGGCTGCTTTCAAATTATCATGGAGACGCACATCGTCTCGAAAAATGGAATAGATTCTACTGCCCAGCCTGGGATCTGCAGCTTGCTTGACTAAAACAGCACTTTTAAGTTAATAGCTGGATTGAGTGATTGCTGTCTTGCAGATAAAAATAGGAGAGACAATAGTGAGGTGGGTGACGTAAAGGGAGGGAGCAGCACAGTTAGCTGAGGAGCTATTTATTTTCCCAGATGGTGTTTGTCATATGCTTTTGCATAATGAGCATATGTGTGGAGAGGATTAGCATTTGAGAGGGGTAGAAAGTACAAGTTCTGTGTAAGACAAATAAACATTGAGCTGGGAATCTAAATGGGATGAGGGTCTCAACTGAATTTAGAAAAAAAAGAAATCACACTTTCTTACCCTCCAGTTAAGGGTGACTAATGTACCATCTGCTCCCAGCTTGGCACTCAAGCAAGAAAAAATAAGAGGAAGACTCGTGCATATAGGGTGATCAGCTCCTAGGAGTTTGCCTACAAAAAGCATTGACTTTGATGGGCTTGTTCTTTACTTCTGTTCTTCTGCACCACCAGCCTGGTACAGGCCCACAGCCTGTGCCTGATGGGGGAAGCAGAGACCCCACCCTGGGTCTTCTCCAATCTGAAATCCGGGGGATCTCATTTTATCTAATACTTGAGCCAGGGACCATGCACAGAGTCCAAATCACTGAAACTATCCTGGGACTCAGCATGGAGCTGCCTACATGCACCAGCAAGGTACCTGAGCAAACTGAAGAAGCCACGCTGAGCTTTGGAAAATTAAGTTTATACTTTTCATAGCATTGCCATTCCTAGCCAGGGTAGAGGTGGTGCCAAGGGTTGGATCAATGTATTTGTCTGAACTACAATCTTCTTTCCTAGCCGTCCATGAGATATGGTTTTTTTACAGTTTTTCAAGTGTCAGTGAAGAGCAGTGGCCATTATCCACTCTCATGTTAGGCTGTGAGAGCTTCTGATTACAGAAATAGATTTCTGGTTGCTTTGGGTAATATCAGCTACACACCAGTGAAAACACCAAATAGCCTGGAGCAGCAAGATGCTTTGGGGTAACAAGACTGCCTCTGTGGAAAAGGTACCACTATGCTCAAATCAGCTGCTTCTCCTCCAGGAGGACAACCCAGGGGTGCACCATTCAAAATCAAGGTGTCAAACATGCCTTGTGGCTCCTCTGAGGCACAAAGGATAATATGGTACCAGTTATTTGTAGGATGCTCTGGAGAAGAGACCTGGAGGTTAGTGGCCTACTGCTTTATTGCCTGGAGATTACAGAATTTCTTCTGTTTTCTGTTTTAAAGGGGATGAAATAACAACCAAATGTTGTAGTGAGAAATCATAGTGGGTTAGAATGTACTTCAACAAAAGGGAATCAGTATATCTCTCACATATACTGATTTATAAGTATAGGTGTCTATAAACTGAGACATGCCTAGTGTCCAGTTATTATATGGGATATTATATGCATTACTGGATTTTATCTCTCCCCCAGAAAACCCTAGGTAAAAGACAACTTGGCCAGCCAAGTAAGAAAACTTGTAGCCACAGCTTTTTTGGTTTGGCTGTGGGACAACCCCAGGTGGGTCACTGGCTGCACTGTGTTTAAAATGCTTGCTAGGAAGGCACCTATACATAGGTTGTATTTCCATTGGTTATGGAACAATGCTGCCATGGAATAAAACTATCATTTATATTCTTTGGCAATATAGCATTTGCAAGTAAGAGGAAAATTATTTTCTTTAAGGTTTAAGTGCCATCAGTCTGAGATGGTGAAACCCAACCTAACCTGATTTTTTTCAAATGAAATGACATTATGTTATAGAAAGTCATCCTCAGCCTTGGTAGATGTTAATTTCAACAAGCCATTGTTGCAATATGTCACTCACTAGTGAGGAGAATACTAATGCCAAGGTATTGTAGCTAACTTCCCTCTAATGTATGAACATTGTGGAAAAGTGTAAAAATTACTAGAGTAGAGCAAAGTGCAGGAATGTAAGTAATTTGTTGCTCAGAAAAAAAAAACCTTTTAAAGAGCTGTGTTCAAGCCATAAGGGTTCATTTGAAATTGTTCAACCAGCACTAAAATGATTGCTTCTCCATAGCAAATATAAACAGGAGAAAAATGTAAAATTTTATCCTGCAGAGCAGTTAAACGAGTGATTTATTTTCATGATTATACTCAGTTTCTAGCTATACTTTTGAGAGAGTTATTAATATTTCTGAATACTTTTTATTCTGTTGGTCTAAGGCTCTTTATAAAACCTTTGAGTTAATTGGGAACATAACCTACTTTTACTGTCTGTTATTCCAACACATCTCAAAGCATTTTGTAAACATACCAAACCAGGGACAGAGCAGTGATTTTACTTTGTTCTTCATTCACCTCTGTGAGGAACTGAAAACAATATTTGTTTAACAGAGCATGAACTACTAATGCCGAAACAACTTGCAAGCAGATGTGTAGAATACTGCATTCAGTTGCAACTGCTAGAGAGAGAGTTTTGAATTTGTTTCTGACTTTGTCACCATTGATAACATTCTTACTGTGAGAGAAATTGGTTTTCAAAAGTATACCTCTCACTGAAGGCTAATAGATGCCTGCCTTCTTTCTTTGAAGGGAGAAAATCTCCCTTGACCTACTAATTTAGACAAGACAAACGAGCTGGGAGCAGCACTATAATTTGTCACTGTGATGGCATTTCATTTGCTGTAATTTAGTAGGTGTTTGCTGGGTGGCTTTTAGTTTCTACAAGCTACTGTAACACAAGTTGGTGGCACTTCTCCATGGGATGTGCAAGAATGACTCACCTACGAGCAGCTCCACATAACTCCCCAGCAAAGGAGTAAATTGCTAACTGAGTAAGAACCACCACAGACACAAGATTGAGTGTGTGGGAGGACAAGTGGGAGATGAGCATGGCCATTCTGGGGCAAGAGTGACACAGGGAAAACATCAGGAACAGAAATTTTCTGTCTAAAGGGGTTTTGTTTTTATTGGAAGTAGAGCTGCCACATACATGAATTGTTTGTTTTGCTCTGTCAGCTCTCACACATTCACTGGAGTGGAAATGAGGGTAGTGCTCTCATGAGTCTATTGCTCCTGTCTGAACTGTTCTGCCTGGATCCAGTGCTTGCTGATGGCTGAGCCATGAGAAAAAGAACCCTGGCTTTGGTCCTAACAGGGAGGAGAGCTCTGCCCATGGACCTCCAATTTGTGACTAGGTTCTCCCTTAGCATCAAAATATTTTCAATAATTGTTTAGTAATTTATCAAGGATGTGTGGTTTTCCATCACATATAAGTATCCATAAAGTACTAATATTAATTTATTGAATATTTAGTAGTAAGAGTAGAAATTACATCACATTTTATTACTTAAGTAATAAAATCTCAAAGCCTTTTTAATTTTCAAATTATATGAATAATGTACAAAATATTAAAGCTTTGAACACTTTCATTAGTCTGGATGAAGTGTTTTCTGAACTGTCTAAACAGCTGTTCTCATATCTTCCCAGAATTATTTTCCTAGGGAATCAAAAAGGGCTTGATTGAATAAAAAATATGGTGCTTTATTTTTTCCCCCCATTTTTTTTTGCCTGCAATTATGTATTGCCAGGAGGTGGCAAGCAGTTCTTACAGATGCTGCTAATAACAAAAATGGGACAAATTGTCCCCTGGTGAGTATCCACTAATGTTGGCAGTGCTGCACCAGGAGGGCATTTGGGTCTTTCTCATTATAGCTTGACATGTCTTTGATGTTCCTGATTGCATTGGTCTCCTGAAGCTTTTCTTTAATGCTCTC